CCCCCCCCCCTCTCTCTCCCCTACCAACTAGCCCCGGAAGTTTTTTTTTCTCTAATTTCCTGCATTTTCATGTTCCACAGCAAAAAATATAGTCCAAATATGCAAGAACTTGCCACGAGCATAATGCCGTGAGACATACACTGGAATACGACCATGTTCCTGGCATTCTTCCGCCTCAACAGACAGAGAGATTTCCTCTTCGCAGATGTTTGACCAAAATTCAATACCTTGCAAAGCTACCTCATTGATATCTGATTTCATTGCAACCAGGCTAATCTGGAAAATACGAAATTTCATAAGGACGATGAATTCTTGTACTGCTGAATAATTATGTGCTTCACAGGATTTAAATTTTGGTTCAATTTCGCTAGGATTTCACACATTCAAACATTTTTCCATCGATTTTGGACTTATTTTATCCAATTAAGTTAAAATTCTTGGGCATCATGGCCTAGAAATGGCGAAACCGGGATGAAATTGTGCTGCTCAGCAAAAAATTTATTATAACTAAGGATATCTAAAAACGCCAAAGCTTTATCAATGCTTCTGCCTGCGCAATAATTCAGCTGGCAATCTTCCAAGGAATCGTAAGGGAAGCCACGGCGGTCAAACAGTTGAACATCAGGAGATGTAACATCGCTCAAAATGGCCATGAAATCAATTTGATTATTTTCATTAGCATTTCAGTAGCATGTCAAATTTCCTAGTACATTGCAAATATCAGTGGTGAATTAGTAGCCGTTCCCAGTATCAAATCATTGGCGACGCGCACTGAGGGGCCCTGTGCGATCATGCGTTTTTGCAGTGTTTCGTGCTGTGATAAGATTATTCGAAATTCCGCTAGCTAAAAACCTCTTATACATAATGGTCTTCGAATTTCGGGAACTTAATTATCCATGCTATAGTTGGACAGGGAACATCCTCTTAAAATCCCAGGTTCCCAGCTTTCTTAGCTCTCGAGTTACCCAAATTGCAGCCAAAAAATTTCACGGGGCCGTGCGTAGCCACCACGCACAACGGGGGTCTGAATTTGATAAATTCAAGTTGTAGATGAGTTGGGAACATTCCCTGAAAATTTCAGCCTCCCAGCTTCCCCGGTTCTGGAGTTATTCATTTTCCCGCCAAAAACTTCCACGAGGCCGTACGTGGCAACCACGCATCCCAGCTTTCTTGGTTCCCGAGCTGGCGATTTTCGCGCCAGGAACCCTCAGGGGGCCGTACGCGG